GGTTTGCTTCCTCTGGAATATCTTCACAGACAGACTGCATTCTAGTGGGATTTCGATCTTCCAAGACCAGCCTAAGCACCACAACATTAACCCTGAATGAGACAGTATGCACAGTCCCTCAGTGGCCAGGGAGGTGATTCTTTAATGGTCATCCTACAGGCAATCTTATGTTCACACACTTCCTTCTCATCATGATTGTCAGAAATGTAACACAAGCCTAACTGGACTGGAGACCAGACTGAGGAACAGGAGTCTCAAGGCTCAGTGCTGGAGAAGGGATGATGAAGTTCTGCAATGATCAGGGTCAAATGACTGTTTGAACAGAGGGGTTTGAACAGGCAACAGTTCACTCAGTAGAGAGAGAAATGTGGAGCTGTGAAAAAAAGATTATTTCTATCTGTGCTACCTGTATGTATTTTTCCTCCTGGCTCACTTCTATCAACAACCCAAAGATGGCCCTCTTCCCCAGCACTGCCTTAGCACAGCCCAAGCAGTTTGGTACCCAGAGTCACAGACCCAGAGAGGGAAGTGCTAGCTGATAATAATTGCTTCATTCTCAAGGGAATCTCCAGCAAAGCCAGACCTAAATATGAAAATGTGTTACCTAGTCTGCAATAAAAACGTCACAAGAACTCTTTCAATGGCATGCAGTGTGTTTCCTTAACTGTTTCACTCCAATTCCACAACACATGTGAATTCACATATAAAGTAAAAAGCATAAAGTCCTTGACTTTTTAAAACCTGCAGTGGAATAAATTATTGAAGTTGTGACATTTTGTCTCAGAAATTAAAAGAGCAGTTGTTTCCCAGCATAGAATTTTTCTCTCTCACAAACAACTTTATACCACAACTACACTTTAACAACTTCCAAGTACACAAGTGCGTGTCACTGAATATTACACTGCTTTATTTAGCCATGCACCAAAAAAAGCTAAAGAACAAATAAATGTTATGCTTCGGCAGTGGAGGAAAACTGAAACGACATCAAATGCAGCAGAGGTAACACACAATTCTCTAGCTTCTAGAGAGTTAAGGCTGAAAGCAATCATTCTGTAATTTTGGAACAGTGACATGAGATTTTGCAGCATTGAATTCTGCTTGATATCCAACAGAAACCAGCCACTAAAATCTGGAAATGAATTAATAACATGAAGCAGCTCTATGCAGGTACATCAATTTGTACATCAAGGTTATAAAAATACTTCTTCAAGGCAGTGCTATATAAAAAACTAAGTGCTATATAAAAAACTAACTAGTTATAAAACTATGCAATATGCATAAAATATGGTTGCATATTCTTGATATTCCATTAGAAGCAACCCTACCCACCTTGAAACAGATGTACAATGAATAAATGTCTAAAGAGCAGCGCTTCAAAATTTCAGCCACTGTTCCGTGTGCTTGGTACAGAATATGCAATGCAGTGATACAGGAAAAGAGTTAATAATTCATATTAAATTATGAGAGATGACCCAGATTTTGTTTCTTTTCATTTTCTAAAGTTAATTGAAAATATTAATGATAATATTGTTATATACTTAATTATTACCTCCACTGCCCATGCAAGGATGTCAGTAATGGTAATTCAACACAAATATAAACTCCTAAAAAGCTTAAAAAGGCAAATATTTCTACTTCATTGAGTAAAAAAAAAAAAAAAAAAATTAAATTAAAATTCCTGTGAACTAAATTTTCTACAAAATCTAAAATTTAAACTGTTTTGCTGTTATGATTTGGAACTGGCCCATTCCAACCAGCAGAGAGGCTGGGAGGCAAAGTATGGAAATGAAAGAGTAAGTACTACTTCATGTGCACGAGGTATCTCAGACAAACTGGGGCATCCTGAATGGGAATGCAGAAGCACAGGGCTCTAGTACCTTTAAAGCATGCAGGTACAACATTTATGATTTGACTAATCACTAATACCCACAACACCAATTACTGATCATAGGAAAACTTCTCTAGATCACTTCTCCTATTTCTTGTATCCTTTCACCAGAATGGGCTGGCTAATGAACTGGTTCATTTTGCTGGCAAGTCTATATAGCTTTTAATAGCTTGGGGTTTGGTATTTTTTCCTGCCAGGAGTTATAAACTCTCACTGCTTCCATAACTGTACATTATGGGGCAGACTCTACAGACTCCAAACAAAAGCGAGGAATTAGTGTCTTTACAGCCTTTTATTTGTACAGCTGGCAAGTCTCTGTTAATGAATGTTAATGATTTTGCTGCTTGTGCTCTCAGGTTCAGGCTGTGATGAAGCCTCTATTACCTTATCTTACACAATCATGGGATCATTAGAGTTGGAAAATGCCTCCAAGATCATTTAGTCCAGCCTTTCACCAAGTACCTCCATGCCAACTAAACCACTGCACTGAATGCCACATGCCACATCCTGTCATTTCTTGGGATACCTCCAGTAATGGTGACTCCATGACTTTCCCTGGGCAGCCTGTTCAAATGCTTGACAGCTCTTTCCATGAAGAAATTATTTCTGATGGCCAGCCTAAACCTTCCCTGGTGCAGCCTGAGGCCATTTCCTCTCATCCTGTCTCTGATTGCCTGGCAGAAGAAACCAAGCACCTTTCTATAACCTCCTTTCAGGCAGTTGTAGAACATGATACAGTCTCGCCTGAGCCTCCTTTCCTCCAGGCTCCTCATCACACATGTGCTCCAGGCCCTTCACCAGCTGGGTTGTCCTTCTCTGTCCTTCTCACTGGAGCATCTCAAAGTCTTCCTTGGACTGTGGGGCTCAGATCTGGACATAGGATTTGAGGCGTGGCCTCCCCAGTGCTGGGTACAGAGGGCCAATCCCTTCCCTGGTCCTGCTGGCCACGCTATCCCTGATAAAAGCCAGGATGCCCTTGGCCACCTTGGCACAGCTGGCTCTTGGTCAGCTGCTCTCAGCCAGCACCCCAAAGTCCTTTTCTGCTGGGCCCCATCTTCAGTAATTACTGAATAACCAGGAGAACTTTATTGCCATCCAGGTAATAAGAGTGTGGGGGTTGAGTTTGTTTGGTTTTGCTCACCTTCATGGGTTGTTACTGCACAACCATACATGACATGATGCTCCCCACCCAGTAAAGGGAATAGATTTCAGAGTTGAGTTCATTGCATTGTTTAATGTAAGCTAAAGTTGTCAGCTACACAAGTGATGCCTTAAGTTTCAGTTTTCATGTTTTTCAGATTCTGTGCTACCTAGGATGTAGCTCTTGAGCTTCATATTAAGTGTTAGTAAGTTCTCTTCACAAGGTAGGTAGACAAAACAATCCCTTTCCAGCTTGAAACCAAGGACAACCATTACAATTTTCAGGCCCAAAAGGTATAAACAATGGAGAACTGAAGAGAGGAACAAGGAGGAAGGAACTTTATAACCTGAAGCTGTAATTGGACAATTAACCCCAATATGCTAATGAACCAAAACTTATAAAAGCAAGAGACCTTGTGACCAGTCATCCATTTTTGTGACCATTTTGGGTCCATCTTGGGTGTAGCCCTTGGGCAGGCTCTTTGCTGCCCAAGGTGTATCCATTGAGGCCTTTTAATAAATTCCTACTTTATTCCTTTAGCTCTGTCTGCAGGCTCTTGTGCTGCCCAAGGTATATCCATTGAGGCCTTTTAATAAATTCCTACTTGATTCCTTTAGCTCTGTCTAGTCTCTGTTCCAGGTTCAGCCTCTCTAGGCATCACAAGATGTCATGGCTTCTGTCAAGTAATCAACATATTATGTCCAAAAAGACTAATTTTTTAAACACAACTTCCTGTAAAACTTTTAAAATTTTAGAAAATATTGGGAGACCTCAGGGCCAGTAAAGCCCTGAGGGAGTGTTGTCCTTGCTAGCTGTATCTTTCCCGAGATAAATGCAAAAAGGTCTTCAAAGTCCAGATGAATAGCTACCCATTTGACATAGAAAAATTGTCCTGTGTAGATATTAGACGAGTAATAATATTCCTTAATCAAAAGTTTAAGACCAATATCCCGTTAGGGAGACATGCATTGTGTTCAGTGGCTGCACCCAGGTTCCCACTGCCTGTCAGTCCTGGGTGGAATGGAGCTGCAAACAGAACACAGAAAGATTGCACTGCAGGATTCAGGGGTTTCTTCATGAAACACCATAATGTACATTTATAAATGACATTGGGGATGCATATAATGTATACTCACTTTCTCACTGAAGTGTTTGGTGTTCATGTGATTGACATTTTGATTCCCACGTGCATCGGATAGGAATTTGGACTGAAACTTTTATCTTCTGAGGTTAGTAAGCATCATCTTATTTTTTACTTAACTATGAGAATATTTTGTACACAACTGAATGCCCTAAAATATAATTTATTATATCACTAACAGGCTAGTCCATCAGCATTTAATTTTCCTCTTTTTATTACATCTCCATGATAACAAATACGTGTTATCTTGTGTGTGAGGTTTTCTTTGTATATACGATCACAGAGAGTAGTAGCCACTGTGGGCGCTGAGATCTGGGAAATGCTAATGTTAGATTTTCTGAAGAAGCAGTTTCTGCCCACATTTCTGGCACTAATTCCTCAGCACAGGATATCTTGTATGCTTTCTTCTTCAGTCACACTGGAATGCCACATGAGTACGTTTAATGGTACATAGACAAATTACATCAAAGCAGTATAAAATTAACACATGAACTTATTAGTTTTTAATGAAAGAACAGGTTTCATTGCATCGTCTTTGCTTTTTCTTCAGTAGGGTTGATATGGTCTCTTGCTGGCTTTAAAAATTAATTTATGCTTCATCCAAAACTAAATAAGGTAAATCAGTATTCACTCAACAGAGAAAGGCTTCTTTATGGAGGAAAAATCCTTTGAATTCAACCTAATACAAAACCTAGGCACCTGATTCAGGATGTCCATGGACCTCAAAAGTTATCATTACACAGATATTCTTTTCCTACTAAGAAAACATCTGCTGCTTTGCCCATTGCCTAAGAAAGTTCCTAGGCTGCTCCAGGATGGACCTTTGTCTTCTAACATTTGTCTTTGTTCTCTTGCAGTGCTTCCCAATAAAGTATGTGCTCATGTGGCTCAATGTGATGAGATGTAATTAATTTACTGTACGCACAAGGAGAAAATGGGACCTTGTGTATGTTAAACACTGCATAAGGAGGTGGTACTATTTCTACACCCTTTGCATTAAGACAAAACCCTACGTAAACATCTTCCAAATGTATAAATTTAATCATTTTAGAAGCATCTACAATTTTTGCAGCCAGGTCTCCAGAAAAGACATAGCCAGTTCCTGAACAGAAAGGGTGGTATCTGTTATCTGGGAATTCTTCTTCTGATATGTACCACTTACTGGCTTTATTCCGAATAGGGCTGTGCCCTGTCATTAAATGGCCAGTGAAATAATTCTGTGTGGGAGGCGGGAGAGGCCTGAGGAGCTTTTCAATCAGGTACATCGTGTTGACAAAAACATCAGTGTCTGTCTTCATAGCAAACCTCGCGCCACTGCAGTAGGACGCCACCCAGCTCATGCCCATCAGAGTTTTAAGAGTTAAGTTGTTGTAAGTGTCCAGGAAGCCCTGTTGGATAATGTCGTGATACTGCTGGCTTTCCCTCAGCAGAACGTCCCCACTGGCCCCCTCGGTCTCGCTGCCAAGCATGAACAGCCGAACAATGTCAGCGCCTGGAACCGCGGCTTCGCTCCCCCAGCTCTTCCGGATGGCGCTTCTGCGCTGGACTTCTGCTGCTGTTGTTGATATCAGCAACACCAAGAAAGGTGTTCTGTCTTTACACTTCTCTGCTTCATTAATAATGAATGCAGATGACTGTGTTGGAGTGGGGGTGGCTTTGTTTCCAGATTGCTCATTTTCAGGTGGTAGTTCTCTGTTTTCTTTCCCTGAGATTTGTTTGAAATTTGTAAATATTTTTCCAAGTAAACTCTTTTCACTTTCCATGTGAAGATCATCACGTTTAGGTAGAGCAGCAAGGTGATGAGAAGTATAAAAATAGGAAATCAGATATATTGCTGTAAAAGAGACGAAAACCAGCAAAAGACTTCTCTTGGTGCATTCCATGGGAGAGAAGAATCCACTACAGTAGCTCATGTTGGCAGCTGTGACAGGATGCACAAGAAGTGCAGATATTTTGCCAGAAGAGCAGCTAATTTGTAATTGTTTTCCTCTGTGACACAAAGACAAAACCCACCTTCAGGCTTCTGATTCTTCAGGACTCCTTTCAGTTTGTTAATATTAAAAGAATCCTATTGTTTCATTTTAAAATAAATTGCAAAAATTTTTATCAAAGACAAAAAAAAAATTAAAATTTCTTTAATAAATTTTGAGGCTTTTCTTCCTAAGAAAAATACAGTATGATAGAAACAGTAAGAAATAAATGAAACTAAATAAATACACTGTTAAAAGCAGTAATTTCATCAGAGAGAACAGAAATTATTCAGATCTATATTTAAATATTGAAATAGATATGAAATATAAAGACATTTTGACTTCCTGTAGGCTTTACAAAAAGTTATCACATAATTGAATCATCCAAAGTTAATGAAATATTATGATTGATTATGGATTCATAGCATTAGAGGCTATTATGATAAATCAAAAATTTAATGCATGGCTGAAAGTGATTTTCTAGGCTCTATAAAACATTAATGCAGACAGACTCTGAGATGAAGTGCCCCTTGCCAGCCACTATCTCTGTAAAGAATGCCTGAAACAACCGTCCTAATCTAGATCCACATATTTCAAATGGCTTCAGCTGAATGATCCCATCCTCCCAGACTGCAGACAGGTAAAGTATAAATACTGGATCTGTGCACATACTGTAGCTTTGGGTAGTTCTTTGTGATTTCCATAATAGCCAGTTTCATATTTTGGCTTCATTCAATGAAACAATACAGAAGTTTATCTAAGCCTTGGAGATGCTCCACAGTTTTTATGGAGAAGAAGACAATCACATCTATCCCTCACACCACGAACTGCTAACACCCAAGAATGCCACCTGAAGAGAAGGGCAAGTTAATTGTTTTCAAGTGCTTGTCTGGTCTCTACGTGTATTTGAAAGGGAGAAGCAAAAGTATAGTAAATCAGGATTTTTTTTCAGATTTGTTGTGCCAGGACACTGTTTAGCAGATGCAATGTGTAGCTCACAATCAAAGAGCAAAATTAAACACTTCTTACCATCATCTTTGAAACTGTAGATTCATCCCAGTCATACAAGCATGTGGGGTTTTTTGGTAGATTCTTTAGTAGTTTCTTGCTGCTTCACAAAGAAATGACAGATTTAGGAGGACTGAAATAATCAGGAATCCTACCTCTGTTCCCATGGAGAATCTGAGGACAAGCTCACAGGTTCTTGACTTCCTGTTTTAAGTCTTTTCCAGAGGAATTGTGTATTAACACAACAGAAAATGCAGCAGGACATTCATCTTTCTATTTGATAAGTTTAAAAATACTTTGTCACTTGTAGCAATGAACAGACAGCCTATAAAAAGAGATTGGATTTAATAATTTTAGAATATGCAACAGAATGCAAAGTAAAAAATTAATTTATGCTCAACTGTAATTTAATCTGAGTAAAATTGATACTGTATAATTGAAATGTAAATAATGTGTGGTGGCTAACCTGTGGCCAACATCCAAACACTCACCCACATGCTCACCCCACTTTTCCTCAGGGGGACAAGAGGAGAAAATAGGATGAAAGAGTTCATGGGTCAAGGTAAAAGACAGGAAGATCACTCACTGCATACCATCTAGGACAGAACAAAGCTGTCCATGATGAATTTAAATGTATTGCTATTTAAAATACATTTGGGTAGTGAGAAACAGAAACACAAAACCCAGTAGCTCCTCCCCATCTTTTCCTGGGCTCAGCTCAACTTCTTTTCCTGCCCCTCCAGCAGCAGAAGGGGGTTGGGGTTTAAGGTCCCTCCCTATTCCTCCTCCTGTTCAAAGAAATCTGCTCCAGTGAGAGCTCTCCAAGGAATGTCCAGCTGCTGGAGGTTGAGAGAAGAAGGGCATAAGGATATTCTGTGATAAACTGGTCAGCAGTCTAATGCAGCTCACATGTACCACACACCTGTAAAACATTAAGAAGACAGCAAGTAATAGCTTAGCTCTAACCATCTTCCTTCTTAGGTTTTTAGCTCTTTAGAAACTGTGTATTTTGGCATCATAACATATTAAATACCCAGGATCCAAAAAACAAAGTAATGTAAGAAAGATCATGGTCACTATGACATCAGAAGTCAAGAGGCATTTTTCTGTACCAATTAACTGCTTTACTGTTCTTTGAAATACAAGAATTTCGTCACATGAAAATAAAAGAGCAGAAGGTCATTTTCAATGTTCTAAGTGTACTTCTGTACTGCAGGTTTCTTGATGAATCTAAAACTATTTTGTCAAAGTGTTTGACTTCTGTTTGTTTTGACAGTGCAATTCCATTAGATGAAATTCTAAGTCCACTGTGGAAAGAACAGAAACTTCAGAGAAGACTTTTCTCATAGGCAGATAGAATATTTATTGTTTCAATTTGATTTATTACAAGATTAGTAGAATATCCATGCTGCTAAAGAGAAAGATTACCTATGTCTTCAAAAATAGTTATAGTTTATCTTGATTATAACTTCTTAAAAATGCCAAGAAGCTCTCAAAATACAATACTCCTATTAAATTTTTTCACAGAAAAAAGAACAATACTTTAGAAATAAATACTTACCCACAATAATTACCCATACCATTAAACCAAAACAACTGTAATTATGAAAATTATTTTTCTAAAACCAATTTTGTAGCAAAATGCTGTGTATATTAGGTTGCCTTGGGATACACTGATTATTCAAATGCATACACATTCAACTACATTCAGATTTTAACATTACTTCATATGTGCTAAACTCCCCCCACATAATTAGGTGTTATTAAAATAATAAAAAGGAAGAAGATGACTGAAAAGGAGCAGAGAAAAGCAGGAAAGGCATTAGAAAAAGTAAAATTAATATGGTACTGTTTCTTAACACTCCTGTTTATATTATCTTTTCCTTATTTATTAGAAAAAGACAGATTTGGGATCTCATGTGTGAAGATTTACCTCACAATGTTCTAATTCTGCCCTACCCCATCACAGATTTTGGAAGAATATAAAACTAAGAAAGCATAGCCCTCACATCATAGCAATGCTTTGATATTTTCCCAAATTCTCAAAGCAATGAGTTTTGAAGTGCAGGCCATTGAAGGTGCTCCCACAAATGGCAAATGTCTAAGTAATCTTCTGAGGAAATGCTAGGTGTGTTTGAAGGCTGCCGGAAAGCACGAGATATGGCTGATTTAACCCCAAACCGCCAGCCGGAAAACACATCACAGCATCTCTGCTACTTAGCCTTGGCTTGGTTAAACCAGCTTTTAGGCAGATTGGGGAAATGTCCATGGAAGGCTAAGCTGGGAGTGGGGAGGAGCAGGAGATGCACCCACCTGGGCTGGAGGCAGCGTGTCCTGGAGAGGAGCTCCAGCAGGGCTCTGCCGTGTCCTGCCACCCCTTGGCTCAGCACACACTCACCTGTGCTTGGGAAGAGCAGGCTGTGCAAAGTCCCAGCCCCACCTCCTGCAGGCTGTCTAGGGGCTCCCAGGGCCAGCCCTGGATCTGTGAGATGAACCTGTAACTGTTCCACCCCTCATTTTTGAACCTCTGTTGAATTTCAATCCCACGTGCCGCAGTATTTGGAGGATTAAGTTGGGCATCACAGTGACACTTGCTCTCGGTGGTTGTAAAGAGAAGCAGAGATGTTGCAGTTTCTGTCTGTACTAGTTTGTTATTGGGTTATGGGTGAAAAAAAGCTGTCTTGAAACCACCCAAGGAGAAGAGAGCTGCTTGTGCTCCCTCTTACCTGCACCCTTTGGCTTCCCAGAGAACCCAGGCAGCCCTTTTCTGGTTTACACATAGGAGGTCATCTAAATGTGTGCTGCTGAGGTGTGACATGGGTTGGTGCTGGAGACAAGAGAGTGAGGAAGTAAAATTGTCTTGATATGTGCTGTTGGAAAGATCTACATACAGTTTTTCAAAACTTAAAATAAGATTTTTATGAGTAAAAGACATGGTCTGTGATCCTTAAAACCACTGCCTGTTACAATGATTACAGCAATTTGCACAGCAAAGGGCTTAATTAACTGTGAAGAGAATCAAGCACTTTGCATAAAGCACCGAAGAAGTACATTAATAACAATTGCACATATTTAAGGAGCATATGGAATTAATTTAAGAAATGTATAAAGTATTTATCTGCTAGTGTAGTGTAAAATCTTTGGATATGTCCTTTTCTGATTCAAATTACATCTAGACTGAGGTAATCTCATCCAAATGCTAATTTTAAAGAGGAATAGCACCTTTTCTTCCCCACTGGAATATTAATAATTTAAAAAAAACCCCAAATATGTGAAAAATTGAAGAAGAATTTTAGGTTCTTTTTTTCTTTACATAAGGTGCATGTTGGATTTAAAAATAATCTCCAAAGAGAAGTGAACAGCAACACCGATCCTAGAATTTGCTTGTCTCTATATAATTTTTTATAAAAAAAATTATAATTTTTTTTTATTCTGCTATATAATTTTTTTTCTTAAAGTACATACAGAAATATGGCTGCCATATAATTAATCACATATAAACAGCACAATTCCCTCTCTGCTTTTATGGGAGTGAAGTGCAATAAAGCTTGTCATGGGACAAAAGGGGACACACTGCAAGAAGCCAAGAATTTCTTGTTAGTCTAACAAAAATGTCCTGTCAGAAAACAGCTATTAGTTTAATTTGTTATCAGCAAAGGGGGGAATGAAGAAGGAAAAGTAGTTCTACCTGCAGTCCCTGGTATCTCCCTCTCTTCTCTCATGTCACATTCACCTTCTTTAATGCCCCTCAGGTGGGCTCCTATGGGTCAGTGGCACCAGCTTTTCTCAAGGAGATGGACAAGGAGAGGAGTTTGTGGCAAGCTGCCAGTGCCCCACAGTCTCTACCAGAAAGAACATCCTGATACTGATGGCAGTGCCTTTGCTATCCAAGAACCCAGGAGTGCTAATTTCCACGTGGTTTGCAAGACAACACTTTCCCCTTTCTTGGTTCTCAGTTGCATGTCAAGCCTGATTTTATTACACATGGTGTGTTGACCGTGGTTATTTCCTCCTTGTGTTTGACTAAATGACAATGACTGGATCCAGCTTTATGCAGCTGCCAACTGTGCAGCTATTCTCATTGCAGTGAGTAATTAGCTATTGGTCACACTTTTCCTCGGTTATCATCCCATATCTACATTGCTCTACACTTCTATTTCAGGGCCATAAAAACATACTCAGAATAGCATACTCAAAATAGCAGAAATAAAGACAGGTAACTAGCAAGTGTTGGGCCACATGGTTGTGGAAAGTGAAAGTAGTTGAGTAACAGAAGTAATTCACTACACAAATTGCTGTTCCAGCTTTAAAGAGCTAGAAAAAAGTTCAGCCCTTATCCTGTTAACTGACCTGATCACACAGTATCCATGTGAACTATAAACTATATATAACTATGTACTTGAGAGCATAGCACAGAGAATAATCTAATAATGCTACAGCAATTTGCTATCTCGTTTATCTTTTTTGCTATCTCGTTTATCTTTTTCCTTTATCTATAATTAACTGTTATTAACATGTAGATAAGGCAGTGTGAAAAATTCAGTTCAAGATCTGGAATCAGCAAGGAGAGAGTTTATATTTTAACACAAAGAAAAGGTAGCTTAGACAGAGGATGGAAACAGATTCAATATTTGTTTGCTGCTGCTGTGTCTGGATTCTTAACTAAATTTATCATGGGCACAAGAACCAGAACTGCATCACTTTTCTTTATTAACTTCAGTACTTGGCTAGGTTTTTATTGGAACAGGAATAAATTAGAATAGCTACTTGTATTAGAGATGTTTAGCTAATTTATATTTTATAATTAAAAGTTCTGACAATAAGGAGTTACTTAGATCAGTTACAACAAAAATTAACATAAATTTAATTATGGATGTTTATGTATGGATAGTTCATAAACAACTCGTCTGCAGGATTAGTGTCTTCTAATGCCTTATGTGGAGCCCTATAAAAGCTGCAGGATGCTGGAGTCTTTCTTGCCTCATCTATTGCTTAATCATGAACTTCTGTAATTTAATTCAGCTAAAAATAACATTTATAAAGTTTCATTATTTGCTAGAACACGAGCTCCTAGTTTTGTCTGTACAGGGGGACGTGCACATGTAAAGTTCTGAGTGTTTCTGTTCATCTGCCCCGGCAGTAATTCAATTCTTTCACTGCAGGGACAGGGAATACTCCTGCACCAGTGGGACCGTGTGTGTCCCATGTTCTTCAGTGCATGGACTCACCACAGGATGTCAGGACACAGGACCAGGAACAGCACAACCCCCTTGGCTGGGAAAGGCACTGAACCATCCCTCCCCTCTCCTGGGCAGGGTGCTGCCTTCATCTCCCTGTGGGTGCTGCCGCATATTTTAATGTCACTCTTATGCATCAGGCATGAGCAATGAATGCTCCTCAGATCTCCAGGAGATGAAATCAAACCTTGTTTGACTGTTCTGACTCAGAGGTGAGTTTAGGGGAGTTGGGGAGAAGCTGGCAGCCTTTCCCACACGGTTGCTGCTGTGAGCATGAGCAGAGGCACTACACAGAGACCCTGAGAAATCCCCCCAGTGAAAACACAGGCTCCAGTGGATTTTTGGGTGCTCTGAGGAGAGATTGGAGATTAGTCGAGACTTTCAGTTGTGACTGTGTACATCTGAATTCCAGTCCATGTGCTGCTGTACTTGGTAAATAATTTCACTATCTAAAGATCCACTGTATTTCAAGGAGACAGAAGGTGGTGCTGACCACTGGAGCTCCCAGGGCTGTTGAGAGCTACCTGATCCAGGCACAGGTTTCACCATCTGTATTTTTAGGTTTGTGGTTCTTTTCTAAACCTTTAAAGATAAGCTGCCATAAATGAGGGGAGAAATCATCTTCATTCAGGTTTGAAATGAAAAAAAAGTAAAGAATTATATCTTACTGAGGAAACTATGCCATGAATTCCACACAGATTAAATCCTCATTTTTAGGCAATTCCAAAGAAATACCAGCATAGTGATCCACTTACCTCTCATTATCTAACTTGGCCAAAGACATCTGCAAATCCAGATGCAAAGGTGTCTGGTCCTCTGGCATAACTGTTTCAAAAGCACATCATCACGTTTCATTTCTAAAATAATGAGAAGATGCAAAGAGCAGGGTTAAATAATATTTAAAATCACCTTTACTTTCCTAAGTGGGAATATCTAAACAATACTCTTCCTGACAAATCCTTCACCTTTCTGCTGGACCCCCAGGGATTTACTCCCAGTCCTGACAGTCAAGAAGGATTCATTTAGGAGATATTTAGCAAATTGTCATAATTTGCCACTGTCAGGCAGATGCACTGTCTCATTTGGACAGGTTTCAGCAAAATGGGCCATACAAGGGCAAAATTTTGGTATGCAAAAGGTACTTCAAACCAAGAACTTCTTACAAGTATTCTTAAAACCCAAAATACTTTATGAGAGGATTTTCAAAAGAAAGTCTGGGAAGGAAGATTTTTCTCGTATTATGACTTGGCATTACAAGGGGAAGTATGATTTTGTACTGTCTTAAATTCTCCATTAAAAATAAGCATGCACTGAAATGATCATATTACTCATACTGGACTGAAGGATGAATATAGACAGGACTCACTTTTCTGGCACTCCTGCAAATGTTCAGGTTACACGGTAACCTGAAGAGTTTTCACTGCAATGAAACACTCCACAGGCTGTACTTCGGTTATGCATAATTACTTTAAAGTTTACATAAATAGTTTAAAGTATTTGTATGCATTAGTTCAAAGAGGAACTAATAATTATTCTGTGGGTGTAACTGGTATTCCTGTACCGTGCCTCAGTCTCTGCTGGGCCTGCAGATGGTGCTGCGACATCGCTGATAGGGGTGGTGGACATGAGGATAGTCACTTCTGTCTGTAACGTGAGCCCAGCTCACCTTACAGAGCAGTCATAAAATCTATGTTATCAGTCTCCATAAAGCCAGCTGGAAGTACCAGTTCAGGTTTATTGGAAGAATGTCTGGTTTACAGCATCTGAGTTTGCCTCCTTATTGTCCACGACAGCCAAATCATTATTTCCTACAACAGATTCCCCTGAAAATACTCCACTGTAATAAAATAAGAGATTCTTTTATATTCCTGTATAAAAAAGGATATTTAAATTGTCATTTTAGTCTGGTACCTAAACAAACATTACTTTTATGTCAGCAGTCTTTAAAAAAGTAGCCTTGTTGCTACAAATTCTTAGAATGTGTCATGCAGTCTTTACAGTACATACTTTTGAGCACTTTAAACATCAAAAGCAGAACAAGAAAGTAAATTTGGAGTATTTACCAATAAACTTCATTAGTTCAGAATTAATTTATGCATAAACTATGCCAAGAGAAAATTCATGTGTCTTCTGTATTAAACAATGGGTTGTGATGACTGAGCTGATTGCATTGAAAGATTTCATGGCTATTTTTGGTTCAAAAGAAATTTCACTGCCTGTGGACAGAGTTCCTGAGTTAGAAAACTCAATTTTCAAAATCTCTTTACAAAGCTTGAAGAAAGTGTACATTCCTGGTCATTAAGGAGACCATTATACTTAACATAAGGAGATATTTTTCAGTTCTTTGATCACCTCTCAGGCTGGATTCTGGAATTAAGAATAAGATACCTTTTTCCTTATGGCATGGTATTTACAATGGTATTTACAGTGGAGTCGCATCCTGGCACAGTTTCATGGGATCCTCTTGAGTAGGTTGGAATTCACATCACAGGAGTTGTGTGAACTTGTTTATAGAAGCATAGTTAGTTCACATCATTTGTGGACAATGGGGAGGGTTTAATCTACAGTTTTGTCAAACACTGTAAAAAAAGATCAGACCAGCCACTAAAAATATTTAGCTTTCAAACATGAAGTTAAACTGTTACTTCCTTGTCAAAGACTCAGAACATTTTCATCTCGGTTCTGGATTATTTTGCTATGTTTTAAAGACAAGATTATGATGGCTCCTAGGAAGTTATGTGAGCAGCAGAATTGGAAGTTATCAAAAATTTATTACAGCATATTTGATGCATATGGCTGACCTGGGAAAGCAATGATATCTGCAATGTTCTAAAATTAGTATACAAAGTGGTAAAAAACTATGACTATTTTAATGACTTGCATTATTCTTCAGTTATGCTCTCCCTATTTCTCTGAGTGGTTTCTGCTACACCAAATAATGTAGTAGCTGAAAAAAATGTAGTTAAAAATTGCCTCAAGGCAAGTACACAAAGAAGTATTTAGACATGTATATTTTTTTTCACTGAGTTCTTATGTTCTTCCATTTTCTACCACACCTTGAGCTCCTATATTTTGCTTACATGGTCTATAAATCAGTATTGTACTGCAGATCACTGTCACATATAACGAGAGCCATAGTTTTGAAATGTAGGAGTTATTTGTCATAACATGGAAGTAGCAGAGAAAGGGAAGCTACACTCAGCAAAGAAAGCAGTGGAAAGCAAAATTAGTGATGCTGCACAGGCTTTCCCCGTTCTCAGAATTAGCACTTTGTTGGGTATTTCTCTCATAATCAAAGTTTCCAAAGGAAGAGCGAGCAACTGCTCCCTGCTATCCTCAGAGGATCAAGTCATCTAAAAAGCAAAGTCTGCAACTCTAGAACTCTGTGACCACTTGCAAATATCTTCCTTAGTGTGAAAGCAATGAGGTATTTTCAGCCTTTGCATGACTGCCTGAAATACAACAGTATTGGAAGGGGAACAGAGCACTGAGAGCTGTAACAACACTAATGTGTGCTAAATTTAGAGAAAAGCATGTAAACAAAGGAGCAAGACCTTTGGAAAATCTGACAAGATTTTAATATAAACTTGCTTATTCTTTATGGTTAGGATTGAGGTAAAGACAATCTTATGGAAGTAATAAAGTATTCTATTGTTTTACCTATGGCAGAAACAACAATCAGGTGGAAGTTTCTAACAAAATTTTGATGAAAAATGCATGTCCTTTTTACAAGCTGGCTGTTCACTTTGCCTGTGCCTGTAGTAGAGTCCCTTTATTCACCTGTTTTGGTGATATCTCCATGGTCTTAGAAAAGAACTCTTGCCTTCAAACCACACTGGCTAGTGGAATAAACCTGGGTTTCACACATCCCAGGATATTGCTTCACTTACTGAACCAATACACACACACTCCTACTTGTTTTTCTCCTTTGTATCTTCTTTTAGGGCTGCAGAGGGGAAAACCATCAATTTTCAAATAAATTTAAAAGGTTTTGATTGTTTATTAGTGCAGTTGAAACCTTTTCAGTGTAGGAAAAGTTTCCAGGAAACTCTCAGCTTTAGTAAAAATACTTGAGGAGTGTTCATGACAAACTAACTTTCCCTAAGCTAAATTTCCTTCCTCAAAGACCATGGTGTGTCAGAATGTAGCTTTTGTCCCTGAAGTGTGGGAAATCAAATTCCTAACAACACACCCCAATTTTTTATGCACAACTATGCAAATACCACAATTTAAAATAGTGCTTATTATTTCCTTCTTACAGAAGCTGCCATAGTCACTTTATTTCCTTGTAGAAACAGTTTTGTAAATAATAGTAAATGGTTTTCTGCTAGACAATTCACATTATTGCTCACAAGGGCCAGCAAGTTATGGAGGCACTAAATGCAGCAGGAATAAAATATCTACCACCTTAGAGCTTATGATGTGTCCAAAAATCTTGGAAATTTTAATAGGCTGTGATGTATTTTGCCACTGCAAGTGACTTTCACAACTCACCGTGCAACAAATGATTTAACCATTGCCAATCTGTTCTTGGGAATCAAAGGCATTCATTAAAATGCACTTTCTTGATATTTACAATATTTACAATGCCATCCTCCCATAAGTAAAACGCATGGAGAAGAAATCCCTCTTCAGTTTGAACTTCAGCAAGCAGGGTGAGAACTAGTTTGAGAAGCTTTTGAAAGAGCCCCCAAAAAAATATCTCAGAAACATAACTTCAGCTTTAAGGTGGTGCCTGTGTGTGTCTGAAGATATAAGGTAGGCTGTGGAACTGTGAAGTTGTTATTTAAGTCAACTACCATTTTATTTTCCTCATGCTTCTGTTTCCAGCTTTCCTTTTCTTCATCCAGGTTTAATTTAACCTTTATGACTTGTGTAAGAATATTTATGTGAAACTGAAACCCTACCCTCTCTTAAGAGGATACAGCCTGATCCAAACCCAATGCTCTTAGCAGTTTTAAATTTGGTATGGAACAAAAAACAAGCCTAAAGGATCTCTTCTGTGCACGTACAATAAAATGTACAAACCACACTATGAAATAATACATAAACTGTATTTCCTACCTGTCTAACTGCACTGCGACATGATATACTTTACATTAGCTATTATTTCTGCAAATTCTCATTTTCTCTGGCAAATGATGCATGAAAGTGAGGATCACTGTAGCTTAATGGAATAAGCCTCTTATCAGTGCTATATATCAAAGGCATCCCTCTCTGAACACCTAAGGACAGAGGGATCATATGTTCTAAAACAATTCCACTTGAATTCACAGTAGGTGGCTGGTTTTGAGGTTTTGCTACTGCTGTTTATTTTTCCCTTGACGTGGGGACATTGGTCAGTGTTGTGCTGTTATTTGTTCTGTACAGGCTTAAGAGTGCTGGGGGTCAGCAGGGGGTTACAGATAAGGAATGATGTCAAGAGGAACTCCTCTGTCTTCAAGAAGCACTAGATTTGTCTCTATTGCACAAGTTTGGAAAAAAAAATACGTGTTTGAAATAATTCATATAATAATATCAATGACTGATGTAACAGCATTGACACAAGATGATTAATATAATAATTAATAATTGATGAAGCAGCCAAAAGGAGGCTGAAAACTTTTATATCCAAGGCTGTTGTCACATGGGCTGTGCCCAAAGAACAGCAACACAGGTTTGGGGGAAGCCACAAGGAGTGATGAGGCAGGAGAGGGGAGAGAAAGAGAATTCAAGTCCATGACTACCTTCACCTGGGCTGATCTCCTCTGCCTCTCTTCTGAGCCTGTGCTAACAGTATTTTGTAGCTGCAAGGCAGACAGCACGATTCAAGTACCATCCTGGAAGAGAGGCAAACAGGTATATGAGGGGTTGTGTCTTTCATTAATGAAAATCATGAAAAAACATTCCCAATTTACCTTTTTAGAGGGCGGAGGGAAGTCCAGGGCTGTGTAAAAGCTTTCAAACATCACAGCAGGAATTGATTCAGAAAACTTCATTCATGTCCTCTTTTTGCACATTGTTGAAAGCCAAACATCAGCTGTCATTTTCTTTAATCATACCAAAGTTTTGATGTTGTGGGAGAAAGTGAGTGACTGAAAGTGTTCAGCTGGCTGCCTACCATTACTTCTCTTTCCAAAGTCCCACTTTCATTATAAAGCTCCATCTTAGCTAGATCTTCTAGCTCTATGGAGATTTACCTTGTAAAAACTCTCCTTCATCTTCTTAGTTGCACCATCTTTTGGATTCAGTCAAGTGGTATTTGATTCCTTTTCCATGGGAAGATGATTATGTTATTATACTGACTTTCATATTATTCATACTTTACAGGTTGTGTTTCTTGTCTTGAGAAAAGGACTGTGCCCACAGCATAGTTTATGCTCCAGAACTTTTGACTTCAATCTAATTTTTTTTGGTCATTTCCTGGTTGCTCTCTGACATTGCATTAATCTGGGATGATTTTCTCTCTCTTAGCAAATTCCAGCAGCATCCAGATGAATCAAAGAAAGAGTAAGTTATTTCAGTGACATTTGACAAAGTTTGAAAAAAGCTAATAAACATTTGAATATTTTTAAGAAGCTGGACAAGCAGATTTGAAGAAGTTTCTGCCTTTGCAGCAGAGTAG